GGCTCATTTTGCAAAAAAATTAACCAAGAGAATAGACATAGGTTATCATCGCGCAATCAAGAATTTAATGTAGTTTTGGTATTTGGTTAAAAAAACAAGAGGGCAACTTTTAACCTAGAAGCCTGTGCATGATGATAAAATCTAGGCATTTAAACACTTGGGTGGGAATACTTTCAATAGAAACTAATGTATGTTCAGTCATGGTCTTAGGAAGGCCTCTGGCATTCTTCACTCTACATTAGTCTCTGTAAGTTTAGAAGATTATTTCTACACAAACTGCCCATATCTTGAGAGTATAATGGGCAGTCTGTTTAGAAATAATCTAATTTATAGAGTATAATCACCCTTGAACATTTTTATCCCGTAACTTTTTGTACCTGTAATGCGAAGGAAATGACAATTTACCTTTATTTTCTATCTAGCATGTTCTGAGGATAAATACATAGAACAACAACAATAACACAAGCTTATTACTTTGCAGTCTTTTACCAAGAGTGTTCTTTTGTGGCTCTCTTTCATTTTCTTCTACCTGCCATATCAATGGTTATGCTGAGTTTCAATCAAATGCATTTTGTGCTGAAACAAAACATGTCTTTTCCAGAGTTAAATATATATATATATATCCATGAACATATATTTATTTGTAGGTTTATTTGTATTCTTGTTATAGTCAATTTATATCTTTAAGAGTTAAGGCAAATGAATGTTGTCTTCTCTTTTGGTACAAACTCATACTCTGTGCATTCAGAGAATTTATTTTCATGTGTTCAGAAGAGTTTATTTCATTATTTTATTAGGGGAAAATAATAGAACATAACAGTATTTTGAAGTAAAAAAGTTGTATTTAATGACCTTATCATATTGGATAAAGTTCAGTTAAGTTAGTTAACAGAGTAGTCTAAATCATTTTGTTTCTTGGAAAATTGGGGGAAAAAACACAGGGCCATGGAAAGGGTGGGTTGGCTGTAATGTGGGTGCTGAGGGACTAAGTCCCTGCAGAGGCCCGGGTGGCTGGGTGCTGAGGGACTAAGTCCCCGCAGAGGCCCAGTTCTTGACATGTGTGTTTCTGTACTAAGGTCAGCAGGCAGGCAGGAGGCAGAGGTCCGGAGAAATGAAATTTGAGCCAAGGACACTTGATTTTGGATTCCTCTCTAAACCAAACCACCACAAAACATGCTGAAACCTGTCTCTCTTCATAAATTGAAAGTTACTTTCAGAGCCTGCCTGCAGGGGTTTGAGTGTTTGCACTGACATCAGGAACTTTGGGGGTTGGTGGTCAGATCCACAGCTTTGCTTTGCCAACTCGTACTGGCCAGTTTCTAGATCTGTCATGTGGAAATATTAATCTTACTTAAAACCTGATATCTAAAAAGCTAACAGAAACCTGTAAACTTTACAATGCAAATGTTTAGAGAGCTTTAGTGGAAAGGCAGTTTCAAAACTCCAAATAGAACCAATAAAGCCTTGTAGTCTAAGTTTCACAAAATGTTTTCTAAGCATTTCATATCTTCAATCTGATTTTTAAAATTATCTTTGCCTCCAATTCCCATATTTGAGTGTGTCACATAGAATTCACTTATAGGCAAAAAAAAAAAAATGTACTTGGGTTTTTTATTATAGAAAACTCTTTAAAAGAAGATTTAGAAAATGAATTACCAATATTATGAAGCATTTTGAAAGAAAGTGATTTTTTTTTGGTCTTAATAGATGTCTCAATGCAACATTTTTGAGCTGTTGCTTCGGAAAAAGGAAAAAGGGCACTGGATTGCACAGGAGGCCACGGGAGCTCTGTCCAGACTCCGTTACCGTGGAGCAGAGCGGGCCCCTGTTACCTGAGTCCTTTACCTCACTGTGTATTACACTGGGAATGACAGACTAGCACATGCATAGCCGCCTTCTTTAAAAGTCTAATTACATATTATCCACTAGGAAACCTATTCCAATTTATTAAAATAAAGGTCACCAAATTCGATTAGCAAACGAAGGGCAGTTAGTTCTCTTGGTATTTTGCACAATTCACCAGCAATGACACAAACATGCTAATCGTTGTACACTATAATATTAGAGTCCAAAGAGAGAAGGCAAAAATAATCGACTTTGGTCTAAAAGTGTATCAAAAGTTTAAAAATGTGGCTTGTAACATGCTTCAATTCATTATCTGTTGGATATTTTTTAAGATGTTGAAAGTGAAGAGAATTTTTTAACCACTGTTTCAGTTGAAGAACATATGCAGCTGAGAAAAAAATGGATTATAGAATTAGATGAACCTGAGTTCAAATCTGAATTCAGTTACATATGATCTTGGACAGTTAAGTTCTCTGACACTCAATTTACTAATCTGGAAAATGGGGACAATACTTTGGAAAACTGCCTATGTCAGAAATAATCTAGGTAAATCACCTGGTACATAATAGGTGCTCAATAAATAGCTATAAGTAACATTTTAAGAATAAAAGTGCTTTCTTCTAATATCTAACTGGTATGCTAGGAATATACAGCAAAACTTACAGAAATAATTGTGACCGTCATCTGCTGTCTGACTATGAATGAATGCCCAGCCTGGGTGCTTATTTGATGGATGAACAAAGTCAGAGTAAATAAATATTTAGTCTAAGCAGTTACAGTGACAGAACATTCAGTGACAGTTCACTATATATCAAAAAGAAAAACGGCATTAGAGACCTCTTCAACGTTCAGCTCATCAAAATAGTGATATTAGCCGAAACTGGTTTGGCTCAGTGGATAAAGCATCGATCTGCGGACTGAAGGGTCCCAGGTTCGATTTCAGTCAGGGGCATGTACATTGGTTTCGGGCACATCCCCGGTAGGGGGTGTGCAGGAGGCAGCTGGTTGATGTTTCTCTCTCATTGACATTTCTGGCTCTCTATCCCTTTCCCTTCCTCTCTGTGGAAAATCAATAAAATATATTTAAAAAAATAGTTATATTAATTAGTAAATCTACTAATTTTTATAATCAGCTGCATATTCAATCTATGTATATTAATTAGTATTTAATCTCCTTACATTTGATATTTTAAAAATTCTTACTGACCTATTTTCATCAAGCATATGCTCTCTGTTAGCTTACATATGGTCACATCCATATCATTACTAGACATTTATTATTCTTACCCCTTTTTGCTATTTATATGCCAGCACTTTTCTTACATTAATCAATTTTAAACTTGTGTGTTTTGATACTCCCAACACTGGGAATCCGGATCCACTGTTTCACAAAGATGTGAGGAATAAGAAAATACATGTTTAAGACTACATAAAATAAGTCTACACTTGACATCCAGATGAAACAAAAATATAAATAAATGTTTGTCTTTACATATAAACTTAAATACATCATTAATAAAATACATACACTTTTCAATATGAACTGAGACCTGAAACAAAGTAAGTTGAGGTAAGGGGTATCAAAATTTGAAGATATAATACAACAAGACTAACAATTCTCATAAAAATGATGGAAGGTATGCTTAATAAATATTTAAAATAGTTTCTTATTTCATGTAACTTTAATCTGATAAGTTTAAATTTCCATTTGTGTGGAATTATCTAAAAAGGAACATGAGCAATTAAAAAGCTAGAAGCCTGTTTGTAATAAGTATCCTGTTAAACACAAAACATAGTTTCATGAAATTCCTTAGGTTAATAATACCAAGAAGACACTAATGGTTTCAATTATCTTCTCCGCCTCATATTCTTTTGAACACAAGAGGCCAATGAATAGTTCTGCATTAAATACTGACAACAAAACAACATGGACATGAGTTGTGGAGGATGGCAGGTGCAGGTAGTGACATAAGAAGAAACACTTGATCTAATTATTAGTAGCGACATCGGTCACAGTGCTGTCCCAGCAAGGCGGTACGATACGGTCTATACATGCCTGTACAGCAGCTTATTATTAAAAGCCTCAGCAGTTTTCTCATTTTCTGAAACACTCTGGTTTTTAAAGCCCATTATTTTCATATTTGAATTTTGTCTCAACAACCACCTTTTATTTTCTCCCTGTCATTTCCCATAAATCTCCCAGATCATTAGTGCTGTGTTTTGAGTATTCTTTCTAATGTTTTCATGGCCAAGTTTTCTGATGTCTCGATGAATTTCCCTCTTGAGTGCTCCTTCACATTTTAAAAAATAATTTCTGAGGCATCTATTGCACAAAATGCAGTTCTTTCTAATGTGTCTGCTTTTAAATAGATTTGTCTCCATTAATAGTGGATGAAAAGATACAATAAATTTGGGTTCAAAAACTTAATGTCAATGCTAAAAATAATGGTTTAGTTCTACAAGAAAACTGTAAAACAATATCAAGATAAATAATTCTGGAAATCAGGTTTTTAAGCTTTTTTTTTATTAGAAAACTTAAATTATTACCCTTTTTAAAAAGGGAGTAGTCAATATCCATTTTTTAACTTTCTCAAATAATAATAAATGATAGCAAACTAGGATAAGAAAACACATTAGAAGACAGCTTTCTACTTCATACAACTTCTGGTTACCTCTTCCTACCCATTCACCTATTTCTGGTCAGCAGCAAGAACAGAAAATCCATTTATCTTCCACTTTGGGGGTTTTCCATGATGAGCTTCATTTACCTGAATACAAACAAAAGCTAGGGGACACAGATTTTATATCGCATAAGCCAAGAACCTGGCTCATGAGCCAGGATGCCCTGCCTTCTATGGCTTCTGTAGTTTAGAGTCCAATGGCTACATGACCAACCGAAAGTTGAAGGTATTCAAAATGACACAGATTGACGACAAATAACGGAAACACATGGAATCCCCGTGGCTGCTGTTTTTCCCTTAGTAGACAGATCCCTAGCATTATGTAAATAAAATTATAAATACTAAAGAAATGATGAGAGTTTCACAACGGGGAAAGAGGATCATTTCTTATCATAATAAATATTTTGGTATAAATTTTTAAAAAACGTAGAAAAGCTTAGTACCTCTGGGTACTTTTTTCTAAGAAAACCATACCTGCTTCAGAACTTGTTTGATTATAGCTGCTAACAATGCTGTTTGGTATCACTGGAGTGGAGGACGTTGAAAGTCTTGACTGAGGTGGATTGGGATGTAACGAGTTTCCTAAAGCCATGCCCGACTGACTGAGCATCCCACAGTTCCCGCTAGCCTGAATCTGATTTATCAAACCTGCAAGATGGTGGTTGGGGACTGAACTGTTACTGTGAACAAAGTTAGTGTTTGCGTTGTGGCAGTGCACGGCTTCCCCTCGTATAGGGATGTTCTGTGTCAGTGAATTCTGGAGAACACTGGCGTTCATACTGGGATCTGTAAAATGCAGCTGGTTAGCAGAGCAAGGCAAAGCAGTATTTGAGGCCCCACAACCCGGGGCACTATTGCTACTCAAGTGAGAGCTTTGACAACTCATAGACTGTAGTAACTGAGACATGGAACTGATGGGGAAAGAACCCTGACTCTGCTTCCTTAGCAAGTCGGGTCCCGGTTTAGGAACTGAAGAACTATCCATTTGAGACTGTCTGAGCAAACTCAAAACTGTGGTAGGAGGCTGTTTTCTCTTCCGCAACGAGTCTTTCTGCTGAGACATCAGCTTATCTCTTAGTGCTGCTCGACCACTTTGCCCTTCACCTGTGGGGAGAAGCATGTTGGCAGTAGGAGGGAACATGGTGTTTAAAGTGCTATGTCCTTCAGTGTTGCCACTGCCAGCAACAGCTCCGGAATTGCTACTGCTGCTACTGTTGTTGCTAGCAAGTTTGTTTTGATTTGCTAGCTGTGCTTTGGCTGCTGCTGAGAGTAAACTACTTGCTGGAAAGGAGGCAGCATTGTGCTGGTTCAAGATCTGATTTAAAGGCATTCCCAGCAAACCAGGCTGACTCTTTACAGAACCACTTCCGGCAGACGCAGCAGGAAAAGCTGCACTGCTTGGGGTAGTTAGTACATTACTCATTCCAGCAATTAACGGGTTAGGGATGTCCTTGTACTGATGATGTCCATCGGACTTGGTGGAAGGGCTGGATGGCATTGATGGCCGTGGGGACCCTATTGTTGACCTTGGTGACCTGGGTGGAACCTTAATACCACTGCAAGCGGCTTGGGGTCCTAGAGGTGGCATCATGAAATTTCCATGATCGGATGATGTGGAAGATGAGCGTGATCTTTGGGGCGATGCCTCAATCCTTCCGATTCCAGCCCCCATCATGTGCACTGGGGATGTCACTGGAGAAGGGGACAGGGAGGTTGAAGCTGAATGCTGAACTCTTTGAACATGACTCCCATGATTCATGTGACCAGGTTTTACGGTTGGCAAAGGGAGATTACTTGGCAAAGGAACAACAGCAGGAGGCATGCTTACATTCATCACGGGTACCTGAGAGTGGACATTTGAATGGAAACTAGTTGGATTAATGATAACAGGGTTCTGATTCGCCGGTTTACTAGGAATAGGGTCAAGAATGCCAAGTGGATCTTTCTCAGATGTTAATGGCTTTTTCTGAAGAGCACAAGAAGGTGGAGGAGGGGGAGGTGGGCCTTGGGGTAGTTTGTGGTGGAACATTGCTCGTGGTATTTCCATATTATTTGAAAAATTACACATTGGTTTTTTCATTACTGGACTCTTTGTAGTCAAGGTTGGGGAGAGAGGTATATTAGTCCTTCCAGCCATTGCACAGGATGACTGTACAGGAGAACCGTGTAGCATTACTGAAGGTGGAGAGAGAGGAGTCCTATTCAGGTGAATAGGACTGGAATTGGGAGCTCCATGAAAACCAGGATTATTCCTTGTGAAAACATCAGGGCTTCCAAGTGGGTCAGTCCTTGGAGAGATTGAGCCATCTCCATAAATCTGGGATCCTGACGATGCTGGGCTAGGCAGGCCTCCATGGCTGCCACGGAATGGAGATTTCTGTCCATGTTCACTGCTGCCCAATCTTTGCCGGGGGTAGACCGGGTGGAGTTCTTGTTGCTGGCTTCCAGGCAGTTCTTGTACATAGAGCCTTCCCATGGCATTTGATGATCCAATCATTAACTTGAAAGGATTCTTACATTCAGGCATTACAGAATTTGTAATTCCTTCATGAGACTTATTTCTTATGGATCTTGGAGTTGCTGCCCGTGAAGGTACTACTGGAGTTGCATCTGTTGTGAAAGAAACAGAAAAAAATCTGTTAAGTCATCTCAGTTCTTTTGTATTTTGGGGTGGGGGATGAGGAGGGAGGAAATGAGGAAGGGAGGGCACCTGGAAATAGAAATTTGCAAATAGAAGCCATGCCTCTATGCCACTAGAAATTCTCCACTCTACATTAAATTTTGATTTAAAAAGTGCACATTATTCTCCCTTAGTTGGTCAAAGGTCCTCAATTAACTGCTCATTATGTTTGTTTGCCTCTTATCTGTTGAGAAAGAATGAAAATCTGAATCAGTTCATACTGACATTAGCCATTCTAATAATATTTAGAATATGCAAAATCAAGATTGACAGATCACATAGAAGTGATGATGTTACTCTCTTGTTGAATTTGAAATTTTTAGGAACACAGTTACAATAGAAAATTATTATCTGTGTGGCATATTTTCTTGGGTGATTTAAATGAATTGCCATCTTTACCAGAAAATCTGTTGCCCTATAAATGTTTCTGTTATCTTACTGAAACCTCATCAGGACAGCTAAAGAAATGCTTCTTTATCCCAAGATTTCCACTGTAAGAGTAAAAGTCTTCATTTTTGTGAATTAAGTGAATGGAGTTCAGAAACTTTTATAATGGGAGCGATAACAATGGTAAATGTAGTGATACTGCAATCATGCCTAACTTCCCATCAATTCTATAACACTGCCATTTCTTTGACATTAACTAGTCATTACTGTAAAAACGTTAGTCAGTCAACTCAGGTAAAATGCTGCAATTCTCTTATTAGGTCAGAATTCCTATGAAACATTTAGACTGCTAAATCTTTAGTGCTGAGTTCTAACTGTAATTCCTCTTTTTACAGAGTGCAACTCTCCCTCACTGGCCTTTGAGGTCGCTTTAGTCCTTTTGTAGATCAACAGAATACAGGCAACAAAAGCAAGCTGGACCACTGGACAGAGCTTTCACATTATCTTGTCAGAATTCTAGGCTCAAGTTTTTTTTTTTTAGCCCCGAAGGATGTTAACTATTTTATAAAGTTGTACCTTGTAAAACAGGGATGGCAAATAAAATTGATTTCCTAGGCCAAGTCCCATCAACTGGTGGTGGCTGCTTAGAGTGCTTTGATGGGCAGGATGCTGAGACTTGCTGGGCTCCGTAGAAAATGCCACTGAGTCTATTACAGGCACAGGGGCTGAGAGAGGCCTCATTCATACTATATGCTGGCCATCCCCATTCTGAGACTTACAACATATTGGCAAGTACACCTGGATTCATTTGCAATCAGAAATATATTTACTTACATGGATACTTGTACATCTAAGATAAATATACTTCTCCTATCTGCTAGGTAATATACAGATCAAATCAGATAAAAAAAAATTTTTTTTAGATAGTGGTTCTTAATTGGGGGTACACAGAAAGCCAGGTAAGATGCATTCAAGAAGTAAGAAAATGCAGGGGAGAAACCAAGATGGCAGCATAGGTAAACAGCTGAACTTGCTACCTCACACAACTTCAAAACTATAACTGAAAGACAAAATGGACATCATCCAGAACCATAGGAAGGCTGGATGTAAGTGGAAATTTTACAATTAGAAGGGAAGAGAAAAGCACACTGAGACTCAGAGGGGCTGCGGAAGTGCAGTGTAGAGGTATGGAGGAACATCCGTGGAGACGAGGGCAACTAAGTATGTGGCTGGCTTTTTCAACCTGGAGGGAGACACAAGCTTCCAACTGCTCTGAACTCCAGTTCCAGGTGAGACTCTGGGGACCCAGACTCATATGGGGAGAAACTGGGCTGTCTGGCAGTGGGCAGAACTCGAGAGCGGCTTTCTCTTAGAGGTGCTTGCAGTGATTGCCAAGGGACACTGAGATCCAGGGGCCTCTTAGGGCAGGGCTGACAGGAAGCCATTGCTGTTTGCTCCGCCCTGAGACTCCGCCCCATGTAAGCTGTGCACAGAGGCTTTTGCATATGAATGGCCTGGTCCTTTGAAATCTAAATTTACCTAACAAACTGCAGCTGAGTCAGAGAGACCCAGAACATCCAAAAGAAGGCCCAAGACCCCATAGTACTTTGCATTGCTTCACAGCTCGGCCTTATCTGGGCACCTCCAAAACCCAAACAAAGAAGTGGAATCAATAGATCTCTCCATAGCTCCTGCTGGGTAGCTTCAGGCATAGGCTAACTTAGCATCTCCTTGGAGATCCAAGAGCCAGTGTACCCAGGGGTCAGAGTAGGACCATCCAGAATACAACTCCTCAGATCCATAAGGGACACACTCAGGGGGAAGACTCAATGAACACCAAAACCCCACTGAAGCAAGTCTTGCCTCATAAAGATGTCTCTAGCACAGAAGTTCTCCCATTGTAGATACAGCTGCTCCTCACACCCAATTGGCCTGGAGGTCAGTTCCTCCCAGTGATACCAACAAGAAAGGCTTAACTACAACAAGACTGCACACAGCCCACAAAGGGGTGCACTAAGAGTGTCCTCAGGTAACTGGGGAGGCTGAGCCACTGTGCTCTACAGGACACCTAGCACACAAAGCCAGTCTATCAACTCAGGGAGGCAGCCAAAATGTGGAGACAAAGAAATAGGTCATAAATGAAAGAAATGGAGGAAAGCAAATGACTGGATATAGAGTTCAAAACCACAGTTATAAGGTTTTTCAAGAATCTACTAAAAACCTTTGATAAATTTAGTGAGACCCTTGAGGATATATGAAAAAGAACCAACTATAAATTAAGCATACACTGACTGAAATAAAAAATAATATACAGAGATCCAACAGCAAACAAGAGGGTTGGAAGAATCAAGTCAAATATTTGAAATACAAAGAAGCAAGAAACACTCAACTGGAAAAGCAAAAAGAATCCAAAAATATGAAGATAGTGTAAGGAGCCTCTGGGACAACTTCAAGTATACCAACATCAGAATTATGGGGGTGCCAGAAGAAGAGAGAGAACAAGATATTGAAAACCTATTTGAAGAAATAATGATAGAAAATTTCCACCACCTGGTGAAAGAAATAGACTTACAAGTCCAAGAAGCTCAGAGAACCCCTAACAAAAGGAATCCAAAGAGGGCCACACCAGGACACAACATAATTAAAATGCCAAGAGAAAAAAAAGAGAGAATATTAAAAGCAGCAAGAGAAAAACAGTTAGTTACCTACAAGGAAGCACTGATATAATTGTTAGCTGATTTCTCAACAGAAACTATGCAGGCCAGATGGGAGTGGCAAGAAATATTCAAAGTGATGAATAGCAAGAACCTACAACCAAGATTACTCTACCCAGCAAAGCTATCATTCAGAATTGAAGGTCAGATAAAGAGCTTTACAGATAAGAAAAAGCTAAAGGAGTACATCATCACCAAACCAGTATTATATGAAATGCTGAAAGAAGAGGAAGAAGAAGAAAAAGGTAAAGATAAAAATTATGAATAACAAATACCTATCTATCAACAAGTGAATCTAAAAATCAAGTCAAGCCGAGACTGGTTTGGCTCAATGGATAGAGCATCGGCTTGGGGACTGAAGGGTCCCGGGTTCGATTCCGGTCAAGGGCATGTACCTTGGTTGCGGGCATATCCCCAGTGGGGGGTGTGCAAGAGGCAGCTGATTGATGACTCTCTCTCATCGATGTTTCTAACACTCTATCTCTCTCCCTTCCTCTCTGTATAAAATCAATAAAATATATTAAAAAAATAAAAATAAAAATCAAGTCAATAAAAAATCTGATGAGCAGAATAAACTGGTGAATATAACAGAATTAGAGCCATAGTAAGGGAGTGGACTGATAATTCTCAGGGGGAAAGGAGGGTGGGGAGTGCAGGAAGAGACTGGACAAAAATCGTACACCTATGGATGAGGACAGTGGGGGTGGGGGTAAGGGCAGAGGGTAAGATGGAACCGGGTGGAAGGGAGCTATGGTGGTCGGGGGGAACAATTGTAATAATATGAATAATAAAGATTTATTAAAGAAGTAAGAGAATGCAGTGAACATATATTTTTCTTTGGAAATGTGGGCTTTCTGTTTCTAGCATGGTGAAGATTCTGGATAGAATAATTTCTGAATATAATATATGAAAAGTTGAGAATCGATATAAGAGAACTGTAGGAGGTAAACTCAACTGAACTTACTTTCTTGTTAAAAAGAGATTTTCAAAGTTTGCAATAAAAATAATATGTGAAAAGTAGTTGGGATACTAGGTGTGGCTCATGTTGGGGACACAGGTACCTGTATGAGCCTTATTACAGGATTGACTGTGTTCTCTTCGGGAACAAAACTACAGACTTGTTTCTTTTCTTGAGTATTTCTATAATCTACAGTTAAGTGATTAAAAATGTAGACATTGGCATTTTTAAATGTACAACAGACAGAAAAAATATATACAACAGAATTTAGAAAACAGCTGTGGTTTAAAAAGATTTCTTCCATACCTGGGGAAACATAGTTATCATCTTTAAAATACTAACATGAATACTAAATAAACAAACAAATGTCATGCTGCTGTTATGATACATTTAGGAACTAAAGTATTAGAAGAGTTGGCAAATATAAATGCTAGCTACCCATCAAGGGCTTTCATGGAGACCTTTCAAAAAAAATAAGCAGGAACTAAATGTATGTTTATGTATGTTAGAGGTGAAAATTACTATATGAGTCTTCTTAACATTTAAGCTTGAGCTTTAAATAATTAAATGTTTAGATATCAATTTTATAAAATTATTAAGTTGATATAATGTTATGTCTGAAGCTAGTAATAGAGGCAATTAATCCAATAAGTATACCACTGTAAGAGTGGATGGAGATATGCCTGTTTTACCTGCTCCAGTTAAATACTTATCTTTATTTTTTAACAATGAAATTTGTTAAGATACAAAAAGTTGAGAACCAAAGCAAAACTCTGTTAAGGTCATTAAAAGAGGCAGCAAGGCAGAATGTAGAAAGAGGTAAAATTGTTTGATATGAGGCAGCAGCAGATCTGAGGATATGCAAAAGTGAAACCATACTTATGTCAAGGTGGCAAGATATTGGTAAATGTTAAATAATTTATTACTATTAAATGTCTTTAAACTACGGCAATATTTTTTTTTTTTTAAATGTAGCTCATCAAAAGAAAAAAACAATCCCTTAGATTGTTTTTTCTTACATACCTTAGTGGAGCAATGTTTTTCTGATCATCCCTGTTCAAGCTTAAAGGTTAGAGGTTATTGGAAAGGAGCTATCTGGTCACAGCTGCTGAATTATCTCCCTGCCCTCTTCACATGAGTGCTAAGTGTTAATCTTTACCTGTCCAATGTCATAACTGCTCCTCTTTGTAAACAAGTCCATAATTTGACCCCAACTTACCTACGCAGGCTCAATCTTCCCTTCAACTCAGATTAGCTTTCACATTATCGATTCTACTCATTCTGGACAAGAATTGTCGTATTTCCCTCATATTTCTAAATCCTACAAATTTCCAGGTTGGTTCAAATTTGAGTTCGGCCAAAAAGCCTTCTCTGATCACTACAGGGGACACTTGAAATCTATATTCAGAGCTCTGCAGAACTTCACTTATCCTTCATAAACAAACACTTGGGCACTTAGTCACATTTTATTCTGAATTACTATTCAAGTGTTAGGTAGATTTAATTTTTTGGAGGGAGTTTATATTCTAGCCCTTACAAAAAGAAGTTCCCCAGTCTCAAATCATGATTCCACAGATTACATATTAATCTTAAAGGAAAAAGGTGCCTTAACAATGGAATGATCAGATGGATATAACTATAACCAAGTTATCAAATTTGATGTCATCAATATGGGATAAATTGACATTATGTGTCTCCTGAGGAGGACATAACAACCCCTGTGCAGTATTCCTAGAAAAAATTGTTTAACTTGAATATAAATGAGGAAACAATCAGGCAAAAGCAAATGGAAGAAAATCCTATTAACACTGACCCGGACTCTTCAACAATGTCAGTGCCATGAAAGAACTAAAGATGGGGAACTGATGCAGATTAAAGAAGTGGAACAACTAACTGCAGTGCACAATCTCTGACTGCATTCTGGATTTAAAAAATCCGGATTAAAAATAATTATAAGAAAGCATTAGGACAACAGGAGAAATTTGAATACAGACTACATATTAGATAATATTGTACCATATTTTATCAGTGTTAAATTTCCTAAATGTGACAATTAGATGTTTGGTTTATGAGGAGAATGTCTGTGTGTGTTCAACTATTTAATAGTCAATTTTTATGACATCTGCAATTTCTAAAACAAAATTGTTAATTGGTGAACGTAGATGAAGGGTACTTGGTACTCAATAAACTGTTCATGCAATTTTTCTGAAAATTAAAAAAATATGAAAGCATGCATTCATGCATACAGGTTTGTTGGGGGAGGTATGAAAAGTTCCTAAAAAGGTAAGATCTACTAGTAGGTGCTCAATAAATAACTATAAAATGACAGAAAAAAAAATAACACTGCTAGTTCTTGAAAATATTAGTTGCATTTGAGGACTTGATACCACACATTAAAGTACAGCCCTAAGAAAAAGCCTACTTCTGATTCCCAAAAATCTGTGTCACTTTCTCTTTCCTTAGCCCAGCTCCATACCCCCCCCATCAGATGTGTATGTGCTAAACAGTCTTTAGTCTAATTGTTTAACTAGATGATTTGGATGGGACACTTTGGGAAATGACTTCATGGGGATTTTCCAGAACGAGTTTGCTACTTGTAATAAAATGATGAAACATTCATGTTTTTGAAAGCATTGTGCATGTGTGAAAAGTGGACCTGGAAAATGCCTGGCAAAGCCATCCCCTATGACTCTGCTAGGAGAGGCGGGGTGGGGGTGGGGGGGATGTACGTACTTGTTCCTCCTCCGGGACTGGTGAGCACCAGAGAAGGATGTGGGGCTTCCATGCTTTTGTGAAGTGTGGCCACTGCGATGATTTTCCTCTTATGTATGCATAGCTTTGTGACATCTTCATCGGCTTTAACATCTTCTGCAGTTCTCTGCTTCACAGCAGCTCCAGGGTCAAAATTAAACACCTGGAAAAAAGAACGGCCTCAGTTTAGAGCATGTCGTAAAAGCAGAACATAAAAAGTTGCTTTGTTAAAACATTTTTCTTTACATAGATTAGGCCATAAACATGAATAAAACTTCAAGTTATTTAAGAAAAGCAACTTGATGTAACTTCATAGTACTTCTATTGAACTCATGGCTTTTAGTGGCACAGTAAATAATGAAAATTATCCTAATTCCATGATAGCCAAGATAAAAAAAATTGTGTGTATATATATATATATATATATATATATATATGCAAAGGTATAGAATCTATGTTCTCTGATGTTATATTTCCTGATGTTATAACAGTACAAAAATAGATGAAGTTCATTTTAAAAATCCAAAAGATGACATTTCTATGAGCTAACTTTTCCTTTGGCTTTATTTTATTACTATATTAATATTACCTTTTCACCTATTAAAATCTATTTTTTAAAAATAATTTTATTTATTGTGTACATATTTATGAGATGCTTCAAATGCTTTTTTCTTTTTTGGAATGAGGTGAAGGTGACACAAATAAAAAGAAAAAAGTGTCTGCTAATCTTATTCTAAGATTAGCACTATAATAGATACTCAGAGAATAAGAACCTGCTTCCATAATAAATAATATTTTATCATTTTAAACAGTTTTTACTTTCTAACTTGCAAAGGAGTAAAACAGTTTCACATTTTGAGTGTGAAGGTGCAGTTCAGATTCATGACTTCAGAAGCATTGGTGGCAGACTTATCAACATCAGCGCTAAAAATAACATTGCAGATTGAGCAGTTACAGGAGGGGAAAAACTACTGCACCATTAAATGGTGAACATAGGTAGAGCTCTAATAAAATGTGCAAAAAAGGCTTTCATAAAATATTTAATATGAATTTAGGTTTGTCACCTTTGAAAATGACTCTGGGATTTGAACCACTTTCCACAGTCGTTAAGCATTCCAAAATGCATGCAAAAGATACCTAATTAGATAGACTTTCAAATGCATATGTGATTGGAGAAGTAATATAGAAATGAAATGCCAAATGAGGAAAGCAAATACACGAAACACCTAGAAAATAGGAAACTGCTGATAAAAGTGTTGTGAAATGGTTACCTTGGGAAGAATAAGAGGACATTCCAAGCCACACTTGCATGTTCCGTCAGTAAGCAGGTATGTTTTAACCTGCTCCAAGCAAGATAACAAAGACCCACTGGGACTGTAAAAATAGTTCAAAAAAGCATCAGGAAATAATTCTGACTACACATATCATATGAAAAAAGGCATAATTTATAGTCTTACTGTCCTTCACGGAGTAATATTTTCCTACTAGGGAAAAACATTCTCTTTGTCAATATTATGCTAGCTGCTAAATTATAGCCTTTTAGCACTATCGCTCTTTCTTTTGAACCAAAGTATTTCTCAGAAAAAGACATCTTCCTAGAAAATTAAAGTATTTGGAAAACCAAGCGTGGACTTAGGATGGGGGAAAATGCTATTCTTAAGAAAAGACAACAGGGGCAGGCAAGAAAGGAACAAGAAAACAACATGAAAGTAATCATTATCATTTTAAACCAGAAGATCTACTTTTGAAGCTGTCTGAGGGAAAACTGAAATTTAGGCACACATTGGAGGTCAAACCAGAAAGTCACTAAGTGTATAAAAGTTGGATCTAGCAAGTTCCTTCCTTTAATCTTGGACTCCAGAACCAAGTCGTCCCTATGTAAAAATAGGTTTCTTATTTTTCTCCCTCATCCATGTGTTTCTTTGAAGATAGACCTGTGTGGCCCAACGCAAATTACACCGAAGAGCTAAATGGTACGGACAAGGAGAGAGGAGCCCAGCAGATCTGATCGAGGACGAGGGGACGCTTGAGGAACGAGGACTGCAGGTGGCAGAAGCGGGTGCCATGCAGGTCTCCTGGCTGGTAAATGAGTACTGCCCTCAAGGTTATTACTCTTGGGTTTTATTTATTTATTTAATTTCCCTTTATTTTCATTTACTGATATAATGTGGGTTAGTTTAAAATGGGCAATTTGCATCTTAAGACTTTTATTATTAAAACACCGATTTTTACAACCTTGAAAATTATTACATACTTTTCATTCAAGAATAGTCTTTTATTTATAACTATTTACCAAAACCTTCACTTACACTTTCCGATCAAATATAGATTTGGCCAGAAATAATACAAAGAATTACACTACTAGGAGTAGACTATTCTGCTTCTACAAAAACACAGGGAGAAGTTTTGCATGTACAAATGAACCAACTTTACATGCAACTCATGTTTTATTTATGGACAATCATGGAAGTGACTTATGCATGTAGAAAATCTCAATTAAAATCCTCAACTTTGCCAATTCACTCACTCATTTATTGAGGCTAACGAAGTTTTTCAAATGATCTGTAAAAAATAATAACTCCCATATTATCGACATGAGTTCCATGACAGTGGTAATGATCAGAGGTTGGGGGGGTGGTGGCTGCTAATTTACATAAAACACGATCACCAAACAGTTATCATGTGTAAAGTTCATGAGTTTTGTGACAAGAAACTGCCTAACATTTCACAGTTAAAGAAGGTGTGTACAGACTGAATCCTAGAGGAATTTAATTATAAAATTAAACCTGAAGACAAGAGTTCCTGAATTCTATTAAAGTATTCCACTCTAGACACTTCAAAAACACTTCCTCTCAGTCAGTCAGCTGGGCTCTTTTCTTCAGCTGTACCTCTTTAATTAACTTTTTGGAGTAATAATTAACGTAGAAAACAGCTACAAGTCTTAGGGCATGGATAACGCTTAGAAGATTGGAAGCAGGTGGGAAATTTAATGTGCAGCCTCAACACCTCCCTGAGGCAGGAGCAGCTGGAGACAAACCTAAAAATTACAAGCAAACAGCACATTGAGAGGGGAGCTATAAGAGGGGAGCCCCTTATATGTGTTCAAGCAGTAACTTAACTCCTTACAAACAAATCAAACCCACACTGGCTTAATTTTTCTGAAGGTGTTTTACCTTATCTGGCAAAGTTAGTTTTCAAAATAATTCTTAGTGTACAGACTTGGATTTGGAGAACTCATGCTAACTCACACTAAAGAGATTGCGGAAGGTACCTACACTTGGAAAATCATGAACAAGATAACTGGAAGATTCCCAGACTTAGCTTGGCTTAATTTAGTTTTCAGCAATCTGAAAAGCTGATTGATCTTTCATAGGGATGAAGATGAAGTAAAAAAAAAAAAAAAAAAAAAAGTTAGATCTTCAAGATCCTAGATTCATTGCTCTAAGATGGATACATATTTGCTCCTTACAGACTAGCACAATAATAAATATGAACAATAACACTGATAACTTGCTATATTACAAAAAACAAAGTATTTCTAGCAGTTTGTTAACAGCACCGGCAAGAGGAACACTTGAGAAAGTGACCCAAGTGTCCGACTTTACAGGACAAGCTCCACATCCCCTGCTTTCTCATTCCTCCACTCCTCTTATTACAGAGCACATCTTGAGCATCCCAGAAACAAAAGAACACCGTGCCAGAGCGTTTCAATTGGTAATTAGGCTTACCTCCAGAAACACCTTATGTCAAACAAACGCAGGACAGACTCTGAACTAAATTTTGAGTTGTTATGGCATGAACTAATTTATGTTTATATAACAGCGAATACCTCATTCATATAAATACATCTTTGAACAAATGGAGAATTCTGTTGAAGCAGAGACACAAATAACTGCACTTAAAGTAACAGCATTAGTATCATGATGCGACTTGATAACTTTTAAAAAGTTCTATTTCCAATAGTCGTTCATTACACAACAAAGATATTTTAGGGTGTCCTAACTTTTCATATACTACTGATAAACTGCTAAGTAAGGAACTTAGGTATCAATTATCTATAATAATAAAAGTGTAATATTCTAATTAGACTGGACGTTGGTGGCTGCAAGGGAATTCCGGGTCCCGGGTGCCAGAGGGAAGCTAGTGCTGGAAGTCCTATTCTTGCATGAATTTCATGCACTGGGCCTCTAGTTTAATAAGACTGAAACTTCTTGCCAATAGTTCAGTTATTACATTCAACTTGTTCTATAAGAAATACTTGCTCTCAAAACTCTATTGAGTTTTTATTTTATTTGTATGATTTTTATGTGAGAGAAGAAGAGCCATCTCCATTGTGACTTTTTCGCTTTTACTATAATATGCAAGGGATGTAGATTAAAAATGGTGCAGGAAAAATAGGAAAATTATTTTTACCTAATATCATTAAGAAGTCTACTAATTAAAACTGCCTATAAACACTCCACCTTACTTCGGAAAACCCAGCCGAAGCACTCTGAAGGACAGAATAATATTGTCGAGGGACCTTGGGTCTATCTCTAGTATTTACATTCCCTGGTGAATGTGGTAACGATGCCTACGTTTCTTTTAGAAATCTTCATTTTTCTTTATCCTTGTTACGGAGATAAGCAGAACAACACGTTATATAAACACAAGTAATGCGTAAAAAGTCTCTCTTGTAACCTAAGGCAATTTACATAGCAAAATAGGGCAGAATAAAAACATTTGAGTATTTCCAGCACAAAGATCATTTATTCAAATTTATCTGAGGTGCTGTCAAGTCACAGTATTTTGCTCCCTCAGAGAAACAGGCTCTACTTCCTTAATTTTGGAACAGCAACTTGGAGGTAACATAGGGAATAGTAAGGGCTCACCTGACATAAAGCACTCCATTGTGGTCCACACGGCGCTGCCAACCCACAGGAACTTGAATAGCTGGAAGACCTCCGTCCTTGTCCCCTCCGTCACACTCCTTGCCTCCATTCATTTTCTGTGTCTGCTTGGGACTCTCCAAAGATATCAGCAAGCAGATGATATCCTTATATTACAGGGCATGGTGGCCTTCAAAAACGGCCAGTGCAGCATAGTTGTTCCCAGACTGTATAAAACGCATGGGCACGCTCCGGCTCAGTTTGGAACCAAGTCCTTGAAATCTGCCATTGTGGAAAAAATCAGTCTCCCATTATAATCTACATTAAATAACAAATATTTTTGTTCCCAAGGATGGTCTACATGGGTAAAGCGGAGTGCTTCTGGCTAAGGAAAATCATGTTCACCAATGCTGGTGCCTGTCTGAAGTGGGGGAGGGGAGGAGAATAAAGTTCTTAGTTCGACATTTTGTCTTGAACCTTGATGTTGGACTAAAATAATCTCTACTGTTTAGAAACCGGTCTCATTTTTACAATGTGAGTCGGTTAATATTTCTAGGGACTACCCGCCTTTATAGGCCACATTCTTTAAACTTTCTCTTTATCTTCCAATCTGAATCCAAGATGCTGCAGGTTGGTTCATCTGATGTTTTCATGTCTTCAAAATTCCAACAATGTAGCCTGAAACATACATAAACATATTAACTGTATAATAAATGTTACAAAACTAAGTACCTGTACACTTTTATAAGTAGAATAAACTGCTAAGTTACTAAACCACTTTGATGCCCTCTGCCATCAAAATCACAAACAAATTCAACTTGTTTTCTTCTTCTAATGATCCACTTAAACCAATTTGCTTGCTCTTCACCACATGAAACTTTCTAATTACTAGAGACCAACCCATAATTATGGCATTACACACACACACACACACACACACACACACACACACACTCCTTTAACTCACAATAAAAATATATCTCTCAAAACCTCTTATGACTTGACAACTGGAAAGTTATATGTTAATCTAATCACAATTGATCACTTTACATATCCTTATAATTTTATTTTTTAATCACATTGGCCTAAAGAACAAAACGTTCCTGTTTTTAAAAGAAATATAAAGAGGAAATAAACTTCTAGTACATTTCCAAATATAAGAGAAGGTTTCCCCCACACTGTTCTTGAATCCAAGAGTGGAAGTTGCTTTATAGTTCGGAGTTAAAGCTCCCTTCTGTTATGGGCATGCTCTCTTAAGTTCTTTATTGTGTCACAAGGTACTGTTGGGGGAGGACGTATCAGCTTGAACCAGCAGGAATCGCTGCTGGTATAGAATGCTTGTAAGAGGTCATCTTAAAGGATCTGTTAAGTAAAAAAATGTTGACAAATACATTTAAAAAAAGATTTAGTACATAATCCTTGCAAAGATTGTATGTCATAGTTGCTGGCTTATTTGTTGTGGTAAACAAGACTTTTTATAAACAACTTAATATATAGTGTATAATTACATTGTGAGACATATGAAATTACACTAAAAAGTGAATGAAAAAAATGTTCTCATATTATATGAGAGGGACTTGTGATCTGTGATAAAAATTTCCAGGGACAGCATCACCGACAGATTAAAAAAGTGTTATGTCTCCAATAACTTAATGAAAGCCAGGTGATATGCTCCAGAAAGCTATGTTAAATGACTTAAGATTCACATGGAAGTACTAAAGCTGTTTCAAAAAAATTAAATTAAAAAGTCAATATTTTAGCCCTGGTCAGTGTGGCTTGGTTGGTTGGAGCATTGTCCTGTGCACCATTCAGGCACATACCCAGGTTGTGAGTTTGATCCCCAGTTGGGGTGTGTGAAGGAGGCAGCCAATCAATGTTTCTCTTTCATACCAATGTTTCTCTCTCTCTCCCTTCCTCTCTCTCTCTCTCTCAAAATAAATTTTAAAAGTTAATATTTTAGAGAATATCCTATATAATAAAAAGGGAATATGCAAATTGACCATCACTCGGCCACAAAGGTGGCGGCACCCACAGTGGAGGCTGAGTTCCTGTAACGAGCCTTAAAGAGCAATCAGCGGGGACCTGAGGCTGTGCCCTCCTACCCCCACCCCTATGGGGCTTGACAGGGGACCTCAGGCTGTGTCCCCCACCCTGGCACCAAGCTGGGGGACCTCAGGCTACTCTGCCAGCCCTGGTACCAGGCCGGGAGACCTCAGGCTGGGCTCCCCACCCAGTAGGGCTTGACAGGGGACTTCAGGCCACGCCCCTGCCTGGCAGGGCTTGATGGGGGACCTCAAGGTGTGCCTCCTACCCTGGTGCTGACCAGGGGACCTCAGGCTGCACCCCCTGCCCAGTGGGGCTTGAAGGGGGACCTAGCCATGCTCCTTGCCCAGTGGGGCTTGACAGAGATCTCAGGCTGCATCCCCCACCTGGCAGGGCTTGACAGGGGACCTCAGGCACACCCCTACCCTGGCGGCAGGCCAGGGGACCTGAGGCTATGCCCCGTACCTAGCAGGGCTTGACAAGAGTGGGAGCAGCCAGGACTGGTTCTATTCCAATGGAACCAGATTGATATGGATTGGATTTAAGTTACTGTGGCCAGGTCTGGGTCTCGTGCAATTTTGAGGCACATGTGGGTGGGCAGGGACTTGATGCTGGGTCCCATGGTATGCCCCAGACTCTGACAGGAGAAAGATTTTCATATACATTTTACTAATTTTATCTCATCTCTGACACTTCTATTATGGAGAAAGGGCAAACAGCAATATTAAAATATTTCCTCTAATTAATCCCCTTTTAATGTGCATGAATTTCATGTACCGGGCCACTAGTGTTTAAATATACAGGCATAACCATCAACAAATTAGTGTAAATAGACACACAATTACTTAATCTATATTTCTAAAAGTCTAAATTTTTAAGTTCAACCTAAACCTTTTTTGGATCTCTTCCTAAGGGAAGTAGGAGAATGCCTTGCAGTGAAGAGCATCATGTAGTCAGACATACACCTTATTTGCAGCCTCAGATCTGAGACAGATTAAAGGTGTTGTGATGAAATACATCTCATTTATTATAGCTAAAAGTTGGGAACCAGGGGTACTGGTGTGAGAAACATTGGCAAGGCAGAGGGAAGAGTAGCAAAACTCTGTTGGGAAAAAATGTGGACATCAAGACAAGTGCCAAAAAGTAACATTCCCGATGGTGTCTCAAGCTTGTGATTTGCACTGCTGGGCCCACTCTGCTGTGTCTACGCTTCCTACTTGTAGACACTGCATCCTATTTCTGTCTTCCATTCACCGCACCTTTAACCAAGACCTCTTCTGATCACATATGTGTTTACTCATGTTTTATTCAACAGTTAGTGAGCGGCTATTATGTACTTGATACTATGCTACTAGTATGTCCTGTAGTTCAAAAATGGTAAGACACTATTTTATCCAGAGCTCAGCATAACACCTGGCACTCCAGTGCTGCTCGGTGTGGCAGGATAAACAGAAAGGAAGGTGGGATGGAGAGAGGATGAGAAAGGATGGAGAGAGCAAGGAAGGGTCAGTCCCTCTTCCTCAAGGAGTCCCCGGCTGAGGGGAATACCAGTGCTAGTGAAAAATGTGAATGAGAGGCAAACTTTGCGCCATCCTGGATGCCCAGTTTTGTCAAACAGCAACAGACCCTGATGACTAAAACTTTTTTTTTTTTTTTTTTTTTTTTTTTTTTACAGTCCCTTTTCTTGCTCATTTTATTACCTTGCTTTTCTTCTAGAGAAATCTTGTTAGTGGTGTCTGATCATTAGAGATGATCATTTTCTCATTTTTGAGTTTTCTAACCACTTGATGACTTTTTGTTTATCTGCCTGCTCAAGCATGTGACTCCAACTTCCCCGAGACTGGCTGGCTGGCTTCATTAAGTAATTTGGGATCTGCCAGATAATAACATTGGAGTGATTCCTGCCAAATGACTCCCTTATATTTCAGCAATTAAAAATACAAATATCTGATGGCTGGGTTTTGCGTACACCAGAGGTTCTCAAGGCCTGGTCCTGAGACAAGTATCCTTATTGTCAATAACATCTGGGAACTTGCTAGAAAAGCAAACTCATAGGCCTGGTCCCAGTTACTGAGTTAGAAACGCTGGGGACACCCTGTTTGTAACAAGCCCTCTCTGTGAGTCTGGTGCATGCCCACGTCTGAGCACAGTGGCTTAGAATAACACCCTTCCCTCCCTCTTCCCAAGACACAGCCCGTTTTACATCTCCACACCTCGCAGGCAGCCAGCCCTCTGCTTCCTTTGGTCTGTGGGAGAATCATCCTATTTTTGCCCTTTCTTCAGCCTTCCAGAGGCAGCTCAAGTGTAAGAGCCTTAGGAACCCCGGATACAGCTACTGGTTATTTATGTATAATTGACTCAAAATTTCTCAGCATTCATTTTGTGAATTTGGAAAATGCAGAGAAGTTTGAAAATGAAAATAAAATGGAAACTGTGATCTTTCTGCTGAATAGTAACCATTGCATACATATATGTAGCTTCTTTGAATTATTGTTTTTAGAAAATCTTAAAAGCACACATAAGAAAGATTAATATAATAAACTTGAACTACTATCCTAAATTCACAATGTAAGCATTTTGTCAGTTTTTATGTTTATTTTTTAAACTTAATGACTTAGAAAACATTATAGATAAAGTTAAATACTATTTCTCATCCCTACCCTAATTCCCTTTTTAGTCTCATTCCTCTCCCTCCCACACTAGAGGCCACCACCATCATGATTCTGATGGTATCTCTCTCACACACACACACACACACACACACACACACACAGAGAGACAATATTTGGCATTGTTATATGTATTTTAAAATTTTATGTAAATATTACTATATATATATCATTTGACAACTTGCTTTATAAAATTCAACATTATTTTGAGAGCTACCTTTATTGAGATATATCGATCTATTTCTCTTGCAGATATATTGATCCAATTCATTAATATTTAACATCTGAATAGCACTTTATCATATGATTATACAACTACTTATCTATAGGTATATCAATCATATTAGTGTTCAGTTGGAGGATCTGCAAATTTTCAACTTCACAAGCATTGCCAAATTACTCTC